CTGCCTCCCTCTCTCTGAACTGAGGCTGACTGCCAACCCTGGGCTCACTTCTGCCTACTCCTGACGCCCACTCCATCAGTGAGCGAATTCTGTCCCCCACCCACCCTGGAGACCCTGCTGGACTCTGGAGCTGCCTTCGTGCCCTCTCTCGTTGACCTGCCCCTTCTTCCAACCTGCTTCTGTGTCCTCCTGTAGATTCTTCCCAGTCCGTGGACCTGGCCCCTGCTTCATCCTCCTCCGTTCATGCCAAGGCCTCTGTGGCCTCGGGATTGTACACCTTCCTCTTGGAGGCCCTGGACTGTGACCGAGCCCTTGTCCTTGGCCTTCACCGGCCTGGGCCCCTGGTGCTCCATTCCCACCCAAGTTTCTCCCTCCTTCCCAGGGTTTCTCCATCTGTAGTTCCCCAGGCTTCTCTCTGAGTTTTCCTCCTTTTTGCTCAACACTAGCTCCTTGTGATATTTCATGTACCCCCGGCTTCAGCTAGCTACCAGTCACCAACTCTCTGCTCCAGCCCGGACCTCTCTGGGTTCCCTCCTAGGTATCCCATGGGTCTCACAAACAGCACGGCCACACTGAATGTTTCACCTTCTCCCATGTCTTCCACTGGTGCCTGTCACCTTCACATAGCCAGTCACCTGGACAAGACCCCAGCATCTCTCAGATCTCTTCCCTCTTCATCTCCTCTAAACCAGTCCCACTTGCCTGGCTTGTTGTACGAGTCTCCTGATTGGTCCACCCCACTCTGATGCATGGTGCTGTGGTTACCAGCATGAATTTGGGTGCCAGCCTGCCTGGTTAGGGTCCCAGCTCTACCACTTACTAGCTGAATCTTCTCGGTAATTTATTTAACTTCCCTATGTCTCATTAAATGAGATTATAATAGATAATAATAGTAGCTTCTAGTATAGGTTGTTATGAGGTTTAAATGGGTTAATGTACACCAAATAGTGCAATGTCTGATACATGGTGAGTGCAATAAAATTGTATTTTTATTTTTGTTTATTTATTTCACAGAAATTTTTTAATATTTTATTTCTTTATTTTTACATAGAGGGGAAGGGAGGGAGAAAGAGAGAGGAGCCTCAGTGTATGGTTGCCTCTCATGCGCCCCCTACTGGAGACCTGGCCTGCAACCCAGGCATGTGCCCTAACTGGGAATTGAACTGGCAACCTTTTGGTTTGCAGGCCAGCACTCAATCCACTGAGCCACACCAGCCAGGGTTTCACAAAAATTTTAAATGCTTGCTATGTGTAGACTCTTTGCTAGGCACTAAGGAACATAATAATGAACACCAGAAATGATTCCTGCCCCCTCTCCGCTTCCTCACCCTGGGTCGTTTGTCAGAGTGAAAGGCTGGCCTGTGATTCCTGGTCAGGGCACATGCCTGGATTTCAGGTTTGGTGCCTGGTCTGGGCGTGTGCGAGAATCAATGGATCGATGTTTCTTTCTTCCATCACCATTTTCTTCCTCCCTCTCTCCAAAAAAAAAAAAAAAAAAAAAGATTCTGCTCCCAAGAACTTCACGGTCAGTGTGAAAGCCCTTTCACAAAAGTCCCACGGAGTGACGGTTTCCCGGTGCCCCTCCCTTTCTCGTCTAAAACAAAACAGAGCAAAAGCAAGCGCAGCCTGGATTCCACGCCTCCCTCCAGCTCCTCCTCTAGTGCGGTTTCCCATCTCCCCAGCTTCTCAAACGAGTTCGTCCTGCCGGCCAGGGTTTATTGCACATCTGCCCACCAGGCACTGCGCTGGGTGCCGGAGGGTCAGCCGTGAACAGGAGAGACGCATCTCTGCCCTCACCGAGTTTATCTTCTGGGGGTGGGGGTGGGGAGCAGGGAAAATGAACAAATATAGCAACATGCAGAATATCAGTGACAGTGATGACATTGATACTATTTTGCAATAAAGTGAGGTTGGGATACAGAGGGATACAGGTGGGATTGGTGGCCATGTTAGGTAAGGGGTCGAGAGAGTCCTTGCTGAAGACATCAGCTTTGAGCAAAGACCTGCATGGAGTGAGGTAATCTGAGCAGATCTGGGGGAAGAGAACTCCAGGTTTTGTGTATGTCCTGCTGGAGGAGGATTCCAGGTAGAAGGAACCCCAGATGCCAACAAGCACAGACTGCTGGCAGAACCGCTGGAAGGCCCCAGTGGCTGAGTGAGCGAGGCAGGAGCAGGGGCCCGAGCTCCGGGTGAGCGCACACCCAGCGTGCCCTGCACCGCCCCAGTGCAGTTATCAGTTTGCCTCCTTTCGCTTGCAGAGGTGCCGCAGGCTTAGATGATAAAGTGTACAGTCGCCTTTCATACAGGCCACGGGAAGCAGTTGGCTTTTTATTCTCGCTGAAGCAAGAAGTGACATGATCTGACTAACATTTTAAAGGATTATGACCAAGTACTCAAAACACTCTTCTGGCTCCTGCAACACCCCCTTCTGCTCTCCCCCACCTCCCAACTCTTCCTCCCCAGCCTCCTCTCACAGCCCTTTCTCTTCTGCTCAGCGCCTGACTCTCGGAGTTTCTCTGGATCAGTAATTCTCAGCCAGTGTGATTTCTCCCCTAGGGAACATTTGGTATTATCTAGAGACCTTTTAAACTGCACAACTGAGGCTGATACTCCTGGCATTTAGTGGATGGAGGCCAGAGATGCTGCTAAGCATTCCACAATGCACAAAACAGCCCCACACAGTAAACAGTTTTCCAGGCCGAAATGTCAGTGGTGCTAAGGTTAAGAAGCTCTGCACTAGATCAGCGCAGTCCAATCGAAAGAGAATGGGAGCTGCGTATGCCATTAAAAAGTTCCCGTAGCCACATTAAAAATACTAAGAAGAAAATAAGTGAGGTTTAATAATATATTTTATTAAATCCAATATGTATCAAAGATTATCACTTCAACATGCAATCATTATAAAAATATCAATGAGGTCTTTTATTTCTTTCTTTTGAAAAAATCTGGTGTATGTTTCACATTTACTACACACAGCAATTCAGTACAGCCACATCTCAAGGGCTTAGCAGTCGCCAGTGTCTCCTGACCGTGGTTTGATAGCACAGCTCTAGGCTCAGTAGTCCATAATGTAGCATCAAGGGCAAGAGCTGTATCAGGTCTTAGAGCCTAATGAATTGGCTATGGAACCAAACTGCCTGCCGAAGTCCAGTGCTTCCATTTAACGCCTGCCCATCTGAAGTAGAGTGACTCCACTTCTCTGTACCTTTGTTTCTTGTCTGTGAAGTGAGGATAATATTACTACCTTATAGAGTCGTCAAAAATTAAATGAGTTAACACGCACAAAACGATTTCAGGTGTTTCTGCAGTGCTTACCAAATGTTAACCATTGCAGTAGGCCCCTCCCCTGTCTCCATCCACACTTTCTCTCCAGGCAACGTCTCCTCCCAGAGCTTTAACTGCCACCACCTCTTACCTAACGACTTCCCAATTTCCACACCCAGCTCAGCCCTCTCCTCTGAGCTCCAGACTCCCTGCCTGGCTGTGCACCCCACTTTGGTGACCCAGGGCATGGCACACGAACGAGTCCACAACACAGCCGTTGACGTCCCCCTGCAGATCTGCTCACACAGGCCAGGCCTCTGGGAGGCATGATTTCTGCCTTCCCAGGGAACGCACAGTGCGTGGGCTGTGCAGCCTCCATACTGCTTGAGGTTTCCACTCCACGGGGGTGTGCCTACAGAAGTCATGGGAGTGTGGAAGGCATTCGTAAGCAGAGTCCAGAGGTGTGTCTGGAGTGACCACCAGGGCCCTCCTGTGCAGGAAGCACAGGTTGTGGGTACCGGCCGCTCACGCTGGCTGTGTATCAGCGTGTCTGTATATATGTGTTTGCACGCTTGGTCAAGGGGTGGCTGTGTCTGTGGACCTGTGTGGAAGAGGGCATGCACATGCTCTTTCCCGCCACCGTCAGCAAGGACCTTCAAGCAGGTCTCACCATGGGGACGAAGGTGCACTCATTCTCAGATGGCCATCCCCACTCTCCAAGTGAAGGGGTGACTTCCTCTGGGTCCTGGTGGGTGAGTCAAGTGAAAGGACTTCTCTGACCCACCACATCAAGTCCGTCTTCCCATCTCCTCCAAGTCCCCTTCCAGGATGCTCCTGTCTGCTTCCTTCTGAGCCTTGGGGAATTCTCCGTGGTACTGGCCCGTGAGATGGCAGGTGAGCCTGCGAGAATCTTCTGAGTCGCCCTCTCTGGGGGCTGGAGCCCTCACCGAGTGAACAGTTTGGAGGCCGTCCCTTGGAGGCCTGCCACAGCTTCAGAATGAGCCCTCTCCTCCTGTCCTGCTCTTGCTTTCTAGGACAGCTCGGAATCTGGTGAACTGGGAACTGATTTCCAGAGATAACCCCCCTCCACCACCACCATCCAGCTAGGTGTTTGGGGCCTTGGTCACAGCCAGTTCTGCTCTGGTGGTGCAGCCACAACCACAGCTGTTCTTTTTAAGGGTGACAGCCGCCTCTCTCAGGTCTGACCACACCCCCACCCCACCCCACCCACGCGTGCGCACACACACGTTCCACTTGCTTTGGACTCCAATGGGAGAAGCTGCGGGGGGACTCTTGTCCATTATTAAGCTACAGCCACCCCCACCAACCCTCACCAAAACGGACATGTTGGCTGCCCACAGAACCCCAAGGCGGGAGCCGGCACGGTCGACCTTTGCACAAGTTGGTGCATCGCAGAGGTGCCCCTCCACAGACGGGCAGTGCCCGAGACAAAACTGGGGACAGACAGGGACTCCTGGCTTCCCTCAAGGCCTCCAAGGGCACCTGCCCAAGGCCACCCTGAGAGCTGCGGCCAAGGCAGCGGAGCGGAGCCAGACCTCCCAGCCGTCGGTGGGGGCGGTGACCGCCTGGGGCCTTCCCACGGCTTGACCTGCGCGTCACCGCGGGGGCGAGGGGGCGCCTGATCGCCAGGGGCTACGGCGCGGAAAAGGGCCCTGGGAAAGGGCGGTGGCGGCGCCCCCGGGGCGGGGCCGGGGCGGGGCCAGGGCGGGCTGACTTCCAGGCTGGGAGCCGGCACCAACAGGCAGAGACCTGGCAGCCTGCTCTCACCATGAAGCGGCCAAGGGAGCCGAGCGGCTCCGACAGCGAGTCCGACGGAGCCATCGACGTGGGCCGGGAGGGCGAGCTTAGGTAAGAGCCGGGTGGGGACTTGGGCGCGCGGACGGACTCTGCAAACGCGGAGACTAGTCCTAGATGTCGCCTCCCCAGACGCAGGGGGGTGGCCCGCACGGGGTGTGTGTGTGTGTGTGCGCGCGTGTGTGTTGGGGTGCAGTGTGTGCAGTTACACGCACGCGGGCCTGAGGTCCTATGTGACCTGGACCATTTAGGGCTCAGGATGCTGGGATGGAGGTAGCGTTCAGCTCGCAGGTCTGATGTCAGCAGGTCTGGTGATCTTTTTGTCGGAGTGCCCCTGTGAGACTATTGGTGAGGAGTTTTTCTCCCCGAAACTCTTAAGAAAAACCTTCCTAGGCTGTTGGTGGGTTTTTCCCCTACCCGGAATCTGCTGACTGTACAGAATAACCACCTTTTCCTGGTTTTACCCTAACTGTGCACTTTTCATATAGTACTCAGAAAGCTGTCAGGAGAAGAAAGACTTCTGTCCCTTGAGCAAAGTGGGCTTTAAATAAGGTTTTGACTTTGAAGAAAATAATAGCTGACTTGCCCGTGGTCGGTGCACAAGCCTAGGCTCCAGTTTCTGCACGCTGCTGCCGATGTCTCTGGGCTCTTGAGAAATATTCCTCCCCGCTTCAAACCTGTAGCACAAACTGCACGCAGATAGTTCTGCTACTTCCCAGTTCTGTGAACAACCTAAGCTTCAGTTTCCTTATCTGTAAAATGAGTATAAATAACAGACCCAACCTCATGGAAATATTGGGAAAATCATATGAGAGAGAGTGCGTCACGACTCAACACAGGGCCTAGCGCAGCAAATGCTTAATGAGTGTCAGGCGCGCAACACGTGACGCCCAAAGTCCTGAAAGAGCTTTGCCCGCCTGGATCCCAGCCCCAAACCTCCCACCAGCTCACCATGTGGCCTTGGGCCATTGCTTTCCCTTCGTGGGCCTGTTTGCTCGCAGCGAAATCGGGAGGACAGAAAGGGCTCTCTGCTGTCTCCTGGCTCATTCAAATCTGACTCTAGAATAGAATTGGAAGCAGGGGTTCAGTTTATTCTTAGGGATGCTTTTAAAGGCATTTCATAATTTCAATGATCTTGTTTCCGAGACCAGGGGGTCCTGCCTCAATCACAAATCCTAGTAAAATTCCACCAGCTTTCAATCATTTATAGCTCATAATTGGAGGTAAGGCAATAGATATTCTCCTTGCATCCTGTATGTTAGGTTTTGGGAGATACAATATAATTTCCATGCAACTTAGTAGCATTTATTAAAATCCCTCATCCAAGGACATGCTTATTAATTTGAGAGAGAGGGGAAGGGAAAGAAAGAGAGAGCAAAAGAAACATCGATGTGAGAGAGAGACATCGATTGGTGGCCTCCTGTAGGCCCTCCGCTGGGAGATTGACCCCGCAGCCTGGGTATGTGGTCTGACTGGGGATCGAACCTGCAGCCAATTGTCCGAGACGATGCTCCAGCCAACCAAGCCACCCAGCAATGGGGTAGCCTTTTAAAGTTGTTTAGCGGAAACTGCTCTTTAGAGAAGCAATTCTCTGAGCCTGTGCCTACTAGGAGCAGAAGGGCCCAGCACTATGTGGTGGTAGTGGAGGAGGGTCTCAAATTCAATGTTATTGGGTCTTCATGAGCAGAGGCACAAAACTGATACCAGAGAGCTAGGCTGATCAGAGCTGGCTACTGTCTTTCAAGCATTTGCAGCCTGGCCAGTGACCTGCCAGGTCACACAAAGCCCGTGGGCAGCACAGACGGATGGCAGGAGAGACAGACCGTGGGCTGTGAGGGCACCAAAGCAGGGAGAGGCCACTTATAACTGAAGGCGGCAGGGAGGGCTTCTTGAAGGTGGTGGCACTTGGGCCGTGGTCTAAAGGATCAGTGGGCAGTTTTTTCCTACGCAGCATTTCGTCCTTTCGGCTGGACCCATTTCCAGAGACTGTCTCAGTTCTTAGAGGAGCAGACCCCATCAGAGGAGCGAAAGCAGTTGGACATCTGGCAGAGCTGACTTATAGACCCCTCTTTGTAGCACTTGCCAAAGGGCCCTCCCCCCACAGACATCAATGCTCCAATTCAGGGATCACTGAACACTGCCTGCTGTGGCCCAGACCCTGGGCTGGGCGTGGGGGGCCCAGATGCATCCTGCTCGGCCCCTGCCCTCAGGGAACTCTCAGAGAAGAAGAGCTTCATGTACAAAGACAGCCAGATAAACAGTGGCAAGGGCCATGGGACTGGGGCAGCCAGCTTCCCTGGAGGTCAAAGGCAGGGCGCAAACCCCCCTCCCTCAGAGATGTGAGAGTGAAGAATAGAGTGTGTTCCGTGTCATTGTGGGCATCTGCCTGCTGGTGGTGTCCTGTCCCATCTGTGGGAATCGCCCACAGAGCTCCTCTCTGAAGCCAGCCTCCTTGCACATGCCAGGACTGAACTGACAATATAGCCTCCCCTCTCCTCCTGCAAACATTTAATGGGCACCTGCCACATGTCAGCCACTGGGTCAGAGTCTGTGGGTTGTTCCTCCGTGATTTAAGGCACATGGTGGCCTTTGAAGTCAGAGGGACCTTCAAAAGAGTTTGACTCTCACCGTCATTAACTTGGACGTTTCTGAACCTCAGTTCTCTCCCTTACAAAATGGGGCTGCTAATACCCACCTCACAGGGTGAGGCTTTGATGAAGTAATGAACCCAAAGCATGTCTCCCTGTTTTGGCACAAGGTAACTCCCAGTTAGTGCTGCTGTCTAAGGGGTTGCCATTCAGTTGGACGGTATGTTCATAAGGTGGCATAGTCTAATGAAAAGACTGGAAGACTGAAGACCGGATTTACTGGGCGTGATTCTTTTTTTTTTAATCCTCACCTGAGGACATATTTGTTTGCTTTTTAAAATTAATTTTAGGCTGGTTTGGCTCAGTGGAGTGAGTGCTGGCTTGTGAACCATTGGGTTTCTGGTTCGATTCCCAGTTGGGGCACATGCCTGGGTTGCAGACCAGGTCCCCAGAGGGGGACATGCAAGAGGCAACCACATACGGATGTTTCTCTTCCTCTCTTTCTCCCTCCTTCCATTCCCATCTGTCTATAAATAAATAAATAAATCTAAAATTAATTTTAGAGTGGGAGGAACTGGGCAGGGGTTGGGCATGGGGAGATGAAGAGAAACATTGGTTGCCTCCCTTGTGCACCTCGACCTGGGGGTCGAGCCTGACACCCAGGCACGTGCCCCAACCGTGGATCAAACCTGCAGCCTTTTGGTACCTGGGATGGAACAATGCTCCAACCAACTGAGCCACCCAGCCAGGGCTGGGCATGATTCTTAACTCTCTGTGTCTCTGTCACTTCATCTCTCAAATAATTATTTTTGCTAAATCCAAAATGGCCCCGATACTACTCAACTCGCAGGGCTCTTGTGCAATAAGTGAGAGAAGTAAGTGTGGACATGCTGTCTGGGATGAAAAGTACTGGCTATGAGATGTACGAGATGTAATGATGAATATAAGGGCTGCATGGGAAGAACGGTAAATTAAAAGCCTGTGGATTGGAATTTCCTCTAATTTGCTGTGCAGCCTGGAGCAGATCCCTTCCCCTCTCTGAGTTCCTTCATTTTACCAGGCGGCTCAGTGCTCTCTAAAATCTCTTCACTGGGGACACTGTGATTCTGCCTTTGGTTGATACAAAACCGGTGGGATTATCTACAAGGGCCCACGGGGAGGTCCCGAGGGGAAACTGAGGGTGAGCTCTAGGAGTGGTCAGGACTGGCAGCCAGACCACCTAGAAAACTGCCCCCACTCCAAGAGACCACCCCAGAATTCTGGCTAGGGACCACTCTAGGTCCATGAAGCAGATCTTGGGGGTCAACCTATCTTCTCTGGGTCCATGAAAATTGGCCTTATTTCCAGACTGTCAGCCAAGAAGCTCTCGCACCTCCTCCCTGTCGGTGTCGGTGTCGGGGCCAGATCACAACCTGGAAGTGAGCAAAGGCTGAGAGCTCTTGGGAGCTCAAAGGATAAGCTCCCTTAAAGGATAAGGGGACTGGAGGGCTATTCAGACATACAGGAAATGGGAATTAAGGAGGAAAATAATGCTGAATTTGGAGCCAAGAGACACAGATTCCCATGCTGGCTTTACTCCTTAGCAGCTGCATCAGCTGGGCAAGCTGCCTCAGCTCCAAGCCTCAGCATCCTCCTCTGTAAAATGGGGCTTTTGTTAGGCTCGCAGGAGGGAAATGAACACAGCAATGCCAGGAAAACTGTGAAGTGAGGTTTGTCTGTCAGATATGGGAGTGGGATAATACTGCAGAGAACAAGGGACCAGGAGACAGAAGAAGATGGCAGAGCCACCTGTCCTGAAAGGGGTGCATCAGCCTCCAACAGATGGTCCCTGAGGAGGGATCAGGCTCAGAGGCAGTGACGTGGGCAAAGCTAACCCAATACCTCTAGAGATGCCTTATCCAGCCCCGGGGGGACAAAGGCTGGGTTTCTTGGGGCTTGTCTGCAGTGAGGCTCTGTAAACAAGCTGCGCTACAGATCTCGGGATCTGGCCCTGTGATCCCTGAACCAAGCTTGCTGGGCCATCTCTCCCTGGAGCTTTCACTGGTCTCTAACTAGCCCTTCTTGTCCACATGTTAGGATGGATGCGTCCTTTCCCAGACGTGGCTGCCCAAAGCCAGGGTGTAGCGGCAGGATTTCACAAATGTTGATCTGGTGTCTCTTGCATCTGTCTCTCTTTGAGCAGATGACGAGTATTATCCAACCTCTGACACCAAGAGAGTGACCCACAGGGGCTGGGACCTTCCTGGTGAACCACATGTGTGTCCATTCCACAAAGGCCTAGGACACGGATTTTGTGTATTGCCTCTCTGTTTCCCAGTAAAGCCAAAGATGAGGGCAGGAAGAGCTCAGCCATGAGCTCTGCCATGTTCCAAGCACTTGCTGAGTATGGGGCGGTGGGGCTGGGGTGGGGGCTACAATAGTGAATGAGACAGACGTGGGTCATGACTTGCTTACAAACTTGTTGGAGAGACAGACATTATTAAGCCAATAATTGTGTAAACATAAAACAGCAAATGGGCGTAACTGCTGTGAATGCAGGATGCTGGGGGAGGGTGAAGTAAGGGATACCTACCTAGTAGGGGGGGGGGTGTCAGAAAAGTCTTCTCCAGGAGGGTGACATTTGAGTTGAGACCTGAGGGTGGTATAAATGATCAGGCAACAGGGCTGGAGCTTGGGGATGGAAGGATGGGGTGGACCAGAGAATTCTAGCCAGGGGAACAGGGTGTTGTAACCATGGGGAGGAACGCAGAGAGGGAAAGAGTTGAGTCTAGGAGGTGACAGAGGCCAGCTGGGCCACCTGAAAGGTGATGGCCTTGATCCTAAAAAAACATTGGGAAACCCCTAAGGAGTTTTAAGAGAGGGACAAGATAAGATCTGCATTGAAATGATCACTCTGCCTGCTTGTAGGGAGAAATGGATGCAAAGAGACCCAGCGATAGACTCCTGACCCAACAGTTACCTCTTGCTCTTGGTTGTCCAGATAAAGCTGGCAGAGGCTTCCCTTGCTGGCGTGGCTCAGTTGGTCCAGCAACGTCCAGCACACCAAAATCTTGAGGATTCGATTCCCAGTCAGGGCACATACCTAGGTTTGTGGGTTTGGTCCACAGTCGGGGCATGTGTGGGAGGCAACAAGTCAATGTTTCTATTTCTCTAAAATCAATAAACGTGTTTTTTTTTTAAATAAAAGAAAAAGAAAGAAAGCTGATAGAGGCTTGGTCCTGAGAGTGGCAGTGGGGATGAGGAGCACAGATGTGAAATGGATTCTAGGATTCCAGGTGTCCCCTCGTAGAGCTGGGAGACCGGGTGGCTTGGTGAGATGGGAACCCAGGAGGGAGAGGAGGAGTGTGAAGTGGAGGCAAGCTCGGGGGTTCCCACTCAGGTGGGTGGCATTTCTGCATTTGAAATGACAGGGGAGTTGCCCTGTCAAAGCTTGTTAGTTGACCTGGGCCCGGTGTCTCTCCACCGGAAGCTGAGTGTCTGGAGGAGGCCCCGCCCTGGGCCTGAATGGGGCCTCCTGGGCCAGGAATGGTCCTCACTGCAACCCAGCCAATCCCCTCCATTCTAAAAGGTCCTGTGAAGCAGGAAGCAGTTAGGAGGGCGAGCAGTTGGGGAGGATTTGGGTCCGTCTGGGCAGGAAGAAGCCCCAGGGTGAGCCTCTTCCCTGGAGTGAGAACGCCCAGGGTGGGAACAAATGTCTCTCCATTAGCTGGGCCTTTGTAGGGGAGGCCGACGTGATGCAAATCTGGGGCCTTCTGCGGGGGGAGGGGGTGCGGGAGGGGAGTGTCCCCAGAGTCCCGAGAGGGGCCTGTGACCCAGATGCCGCTCCCCCTCGTCCTCAGCCGTGCTGCGTGGGAGGTGGCGGCAGCTGCAGCCGCCGCGGAGGGCGGGCAGCCGGCGCGCCGGGCCCGTGGGAAGCAGCGGCATCTGCTCTTTCCACGCTCATTCCCAGCGGCTCCTTCTGAAACCCAACCCGCCGGCCGGCCTGCCGCCGCTGGCCCGTGCCCTCTCCCGCCCCGCCCCGCCCAGGATCGCGTTGCAGCAGCTAGAGTGGCCAGAGGCCATTCCGATGCCCGCCCCCTAGCAGCCCGCAGAGAGGGAGGGAGCGTGGGGCTGAGGCTGAGGTGAGAACCTAGCCCCGCTCTGCCCCCAGCTCTGTCCTGGGACAGTTAACACAGTGCGGGGAAGAATTTGTCACAGAGAAATGGCACTGCGACCCCCACCCCCAGGAGAAGGGAGAGGCTGCGTCCCTCCCCTCCCGTCCCTCCCACGCCTGCCCTGTGCTTCCTCCCAGCCTGGGAGACCACAGACAGACTCTGGGCAGCAGGGGGCTGTGCTCGCCCAGAGATCAATCCAGGCCCAGGCGATGCTCCCCAGCGCTGAAACTTTTGCCTTTCTCTTCCTCTCCAGCCAGATGGCCAGGCCCCTGTCCACCCCCAGCCCTTCTCAGATGCAAGCCAGGAAGAAACGCAGAGGGGTGAGTGTCTCAGCCGCGTTGCCCAACAGAGGTTTACCCTGGGTCCCCAGGGCCCTAGCCTCAAGAAACCTGGTCAGAGACATCGCCCCAAGCTAGGGTGCCTGGGTTCAAGTCCTGGCTCTGCAGGTAGCCAGTGGGATGACTTTGGGCAAGACCCTTAACCTCTCTGTGCCTCATTTCCTCAAGTGCGTCACTGAAATAATAATAGTAGCTACCTCAAAATGTTGTTTTGAAGATTCAAGGAATTAAAGTGACACATTCAGAATAACACATGACACAATTAACCACTATTATTTATCCCAGCCTTCCTTCTCTTCTCTCTGAGCCCAGAACTTTCATTTTTCTCTGGGGGCGGAGCAGTTGAATGAGAGGGACAGAAGAAGGGGGCCCCCTGCTTGCTGTTGGCTGTCTTATCGCAGCCTTGCTTCCCCCCAAGATGCGGCTGTGTGGGGTCCAGAGACCTGGGGACTGGCAGAGACCAGCCCTGCCATTCGCTAATCAGGAGCCCTTCTGTCCAGCCTTCACGTTCTTTGCTGGTAACCTGGGGCTCACAGTGTCCGGACTCACAGTGCTCTGCTCCCAGAACTGTGAGATGGGAGTGAGATCCAGCTGTGAACGAGAGGCCCTCGCAGCTGGAGAGGGCCCTGCCCAAGGCGCCTCAGACCTCATAATCCAGCATCTGAAGGGGAACCCCGGGCCCAGCGGGGCTTCTCTAGGGCCTGCTCCAGGGCCGTGGCCGGTGTCCCTGTTCTGATTGGTTGGTGCTCGGACCAGTAGTTCAATGTATTAAATGCCCCCCCCACACACACACAGACCAAGACAAGAGATCTGAGTTCTCCCAGCTTTGCACTTCCTTGCTGTGTGACCTTAAACAAGTCACCACCCCTCTCTGAGCCTCAGTTTCCTCCTCCATAAAGTAAGAACAGATTTATTTCCCTCACAAAACTACTGTGAAGGAAAATATGAATTAGTGTCTATCAAGGCACATCGAGCCCTGGTTGGTGTGGCTCAGTGGATTGAACACAGGCCTGCAAACTGAAGGGTCACTGGTTCGGTTCCCCATCAGGCATGTGTCTGGGTTGTGGCCAGGGGTCCCCATTGGGGGTACCGTCCTGTGCGGGGTGTCCCGCCCCCATTGAGGGTGTTTGGGATGCAAACTTTCGAGATGTTTTCCTCACACACAATGTGTTTCTCTCCATCTCTTTCTCCTCCCCTTCTCCTCTCTCTAAAAATAAATAAAATCTTTTCTGTTTAAAGACACATTGAACTACCTGTGAAGAGCCTATGTGTAAATTCTTGTCATTGTCCTTTAGATCATAGAGAAACGGCGTCGAGACCGCATCAACAGCAGCCTTTCCGAACTGCGGCGCTTGGTCCCCACCGCCTTTGAGAAGCAGGTACGTGACACCGCTGATCGTGCCAGAGGAAATCTGTGCGAGTGGCAGGAAGGTCACGTGTCATGGCATCTCTTATCGATTGGTGGCAGCTGCCTGCAGTCCTGTGATGTCATTTACTGATATCTGCCACTGGCCAGGGAGAAGGGGAATGGGAATTTATACTTACTGAGGTATCTCAGGGGTTGTGGCTTTATGTCCATCGCTCCACTTAATTGGATCAAAACGATCCTGGAGATCAGGTATTATGCCCATTGCACAGGTAAGGAAACTGCAGCACAGAGAGGTCAAGTAACTTGCACCAGGCCACACAGCCAGTAAATAGCAGAGCAGGACTGGAACAGAGAACGCTGTAACTCCAAAGTGCCCTCACCCTCTACACAACCAACATTTCCAAGGCTAGTTGAAAGTGGAATGGGCTGCTCACGGAGTGAGCACTCTGACACTGAACGTGTTGGAGTGGAGGGATGACAGTGGGGGCCGGACAGCTGCATTAGTCAGGCAGCCTCAGAGACTCTCACCCTGCGCTCCACAGCAGGGCCACGGGTCCTCCCTTCTGCTGGTGAGAACGAGTCGGTTGTTCCGCAGACGTTCACTAAAACCTTCCCAAGACCAGCCATGAACTAGACCTGCTGCCTGCCCTCAAGGGGCTCACACGGAGAATCTGACCCTCAGGTTTCACCTGGGAGACCAGGTGACGCTGGAGGCTTCAAAAACATTTCCCAAGAAAGAGAAGAGAGGAAAAGCAAGCGCTTTAGGGGTAAGAGGCTGAGCTAGAGCTTGGGCTCCCCGGAGCACTGGGCTAGGAGGCAGTGAGTTCCGGTAATGGTGTATGAAGCCACAGAGATAGATCCTCTGGGGAGGGTGTGCACAACGGGAAAAGTGAGCCAACACCCCTGGGACACCACCTTTTCAGGGGTCAGGCAGAGCAAGAGGCAAGGTGAAAGGAGGACCAAAAAGTCATGGAAGTCAGGGGAGCAGAGGTTTCTGGAAGGACGGTCAGCAGTGCAGTGGGCAAATGGACTAACATGAGAACTGAATGGAATGTTCAGTTTGAAGCAGAGGCCCCATTGCAGGCAGTGATGGAGCGGGAGGAAGATGAGAAAGCTGAGATGGTGAGTGCTGGTGACACCGTGCAGGGGAGGTGAGTGACACAGGTCACTGGAGGCCTTCACTCTTCTGTCTCCTGTATACACAGGGCTCCTCCAAGCTGGAGAAAGCTGAGGTGCTGCAGATGACGGTAGATCACTTGAAGATGCTCCACGCTACTGGTGGGACAGGTACTGATGCTCTGCCCTTCTGGGAGTCATTTATGCAGCCAGTCTGTGGGGCTGGGCCCTGGGGATGCACTGGTGAGCACAGCAGACCTGGTCCCTGCCCTTGTGGAGCTCACGGTGCATAGAGAGGCTAAAGCCGATGCAGGCAGAACATTCACGAATCCGTCTCTCTCCTTTTTGGGGCACCTTCCTCTGCACTCTCAGTGTCGGCATTCGCAACTCTTTCCTCAACTCCACTCCTTCTCCAACAGACTGTTCCTACTGACCCCACCCCCAGGGCCTCATTCAGCATGAGCCTGTATGAGCTCATTCTCACTGGGATCCCAGTGGGAGCCGCCTGCCTGCGATTTTTAACCACAGATGGTTCGCTAGTGTGCCCACCACCGGTCTGGCCTTCTGGGCTGTTGCATCCTTGGCATTGCTGAGGTCATATGTCATGCTCACAGCTGAAGATCGGCCACACGGGATCATAATAGAATTCAAATGTAACTGCTTCCGTTATTTTGAACTGGTCTATTACAATAAAGACATTGAACTGTGGCTTTAAAAAGATTTCTGGACAAATAGAAATTTTGGCGACATGGAGCCTCCCCGTGTATTTTGGTGATTTCACAATTGGGAAACCTTGGAAGCTCAGCAGACCTTGGCCACAGAGTCCTAAGTCCCAAATCCTTAACTTACTCCTTTTGGAGGGGACAGTTGCATTTTAAGAGGCCCAACCTGGGGCTTCTCGGTGTGCAGCGGTATCACCGGGGGGCAGGCAGGGTCGTGGGCCCCACCCCAGAGACTCCGAGGCAGTAGGTGTCTGGGCTGGAGTTTAGGACTCTGCAGGGACAGGGAGCATCCCTGATGGCCTGGGTGCAGGGGGTCGCTCAGAGGACTTCTGCCAAAGCAACGCGCGGCCCACAGGAGAAACTTCTGTCACCAGTAAACCGGTGGGGGAGACACTACATCTGTGGTTTCCCAATTAAAAGAAAAGTAGTGACAGTATATGGGCGGCATTTTCAGAGTTTTGGAATGCCTTCCCTAATGCCATCTCATTTGGTTCTCACAACACCCCCGTGGGCGGGGCACTGCTGCCCTGCTCTTCTGGCCTGGGCTGTGGGAGGACAGAATTGTGGTGGGACTTGGATCCTGGCCCTGTGACTTTACTAGCTTTATATCCTTGGACAAATTATTTAACTTCTATATCCCTCAGTTTCCTCATCTCTAAAATGGGGATATTAAAGGGGTTTTCATGAAAATTAACTTAGATGACACAAATGAAGTGCTAAGTAAGAACCTGGTAGGTGCTAGTGAAAAAGAACAGCGAGGCCAGAAGGGGAAGGGATTTACTCCATCCAGGTCAGCACATGGCAGAGCCAGCAGGACTTCAAACACGGACCCGCCCAGCTGTCCCTCTGGGGGTGGGGCCTCAGCTGTGAACCAGGGACCAGATATTTGCTATGGGAGTCCTGAGGCCAGTGCTCACCCTGGCTGTTCCATGACCACCCCGAGGGCGGTATGGAGAGAAGGGCGGGTATGGAGAGGCAGCGAGCTGTGCACCAGCTCATTCCTCGCCGAAATCTGCCAAAGAGAGGGTCCCCGGCTGGTGGCAGCAGCTGAGAGTGGGGTCCTGCTTTCCAGCCCGCACGTTGGGCTGGATGACAAACTGGAATTCCCGCAGCAGCCAAGCTGTGAGTGGTAGCTAATGTATAATTTCCTGAGCATTCTTGTGCACCATTTCATTTTGTTTCACCCTCCTAGTCCTGTGCAGCGGGTACTGTTCCACGCTAAGGACATAGAGGCACAGAGAGGTTGAGTGACATGTCCATGGCCAGGCAGCTTGTGAAGTCGCCTCCAAAACCTCAGGCTTCACTGCTACACTGTGCTGCCTTCTCCAAGGGGCGCCCCAGCATCTGCCCACGTCAGCAGGCAGGGCTGTCCTACAGCTCCGTGCAAGCGGCACTGTCCCACCTGGCGAGGGTCTACCTAAGTTACAGCAGTCGCAGTTTCTCCTTTGCATTAGTCATAAACTGCTCAAAACATCACTTGACATTTTATAATGCTTCACAGTTGAGTTGACTCATTTGACCCTTACAACCCAGTAGCGATGATGACCTGCCACTTTGCAGATGGAGAGACTGGGACTCAGAGAGGTGAGGTGGCATGCCCAAAGTCACACAGGGAGTGAGGAGGGGAGGCAGGTCCAGAGTCCAGGCAGTCTGCCCTCAGTTTCATTGCACGTGTCCCCCGCTGGGCCGGCCCTCATCACAGCTCACTTTGCAGGATTCTTTGACGCCCGAACCCTGGCAGTGGACTTCCGGAGCATCGGTTTCCGGGAGTGCCTCACTGAGGTCATCAGGTACCTGGGGGTCCTGGAAGGACCCAGCAGCCGTGCGGACCCGGTCCGGATTCGCCTCCTCTCCCACCTCAACAGCTACGCAGCCGAGATGGAGCCTTCGCCCACACCTGCCAGCCCCCTGGCCTTCCCTGCCTGGCCCTGGTCCTTCTTTCATAGCTGTCCAGGGCTGTCAGCCCCGAGCAGCCAGCTCGCCATCCTGGGGAGAGCGCCAGGCCCCGTCCTCCCCAGCGCCGCCTCTCTCGCCTGCCCCATCCCAGCCCTCCGAGCAGTTCCCATGCGCAGAGCTGCCGGCACCGTCCTGCCGGCGCGGAGGAATCTGCTGCCCAGTCGAGGGGCGTCTTCTACTCGGAGGGTCCGCCCTCTGGAGAGGCCGGCTGTCCCCCTGCCGGTGACCCCCAGCGGCAGGGCTGCCAGGAGCAGCCCCATGGCACCCCTCCTGCGGTCTTCTTCCCCCACATCCGCGGGCGTTGGGAGGTCCCCTGCGTCTGCCGCTGTTCCTGCCCCCAGGCCCTCTCCCTCCGGGCCTGCTGGGAAGCCCGCAGGGGCTGTGCTCTGCCACTCCTGGGTCTCCGAAATCACGGAGGTCGGGGCTTTCTGAGCTGTGTCCCCTCCCCCACCCCCGCCTGGAGTAAGGAAAAATTCTTCCCGGGAGCTCCGAAAGTGGCTCTGCCCTTTCTGCCCTGCCTCCTGGACTGGCTCCCGTGTGAAGGCGTCTTCACCCATGGGAGGCTCCCTTGCCCTCTGGCCCATCTCCCCTCCTCACTGTTCGGCTCACCTTGCCCACCTGGCCTCCTGGAGCTGTTCCGACCTCAGAGGCTCGGTCCCACCTCTTACACGCACAGATGAGTCCCGGGAGAACCCTAAGCGCTGTGCGCACGCCCCTCATCCTGCCCCAGTGTACATGGGCAGCAGGCATGAGTCTCAGCTCTGGGAACACAGCTGTGACCTAAAAAGCAGAGTGGCTGAGGCTGGCTGCTTCCCAAGAGAGACCAGACCCCCATCAGGAGCAATGACTCCCTGGCTGCAACCTTCCCAGGCCCCATAACACAGGGCCTGCCTTGCTTCCTGAGACAGTAAAGGAACAGGGCGGGCCACAGAGAGGTTTCCCAGGGACCCTGCCTGCCCCTGCCCACCTGTCTTTAGCCCACCCCATTGCAGCAAATCACAGGACAGACCTGCTGCCCACCACGACCAAGACCTCCCAGCTGCAAACACCCAGCATCCAGCCGACCAATAGTCTTCTGCACGCAGCTGGGAGCCTTCCCGGCAGCAGTAAGACCCCGAGACAGGGTGTCCTTACCACTAGGCCTGGGACAGCGCTCTCAGGTGGCAGCCAGGACCCAGCAAAGAGAGCCCAGCTCTCTCCTCTCACGCCTCCCTCCAGGCGTGTGGTCCCTGTCGGCACACAGCCATGTTCCCACGTGATGGGGCCCCCCGGAGAGGGATCCTCTTGGGATTCAGAGCCAGACGTTTGTGCGGCCTGGTCTGCATCCGGCTCACGGAGCTGTCTGCTGGGACAGCCAGGGCTTGTCGGGCCGGACAAAAATAACTGGGAGGAGGGGCGAGAGGAAGGACATTCAGAGGCGGCCATGCCCTGCAAGGTCACCCAGTGGCTCGAGGGCCTGAGAGCCTATTCACCCAGGATTCCACGCAGCTGGGGCTGCTCAGAAGCCATGTCGTTACTCAGCACCAACCCCAGCTGCTTATCCTCCAACAGAGGGACAGATGACCCAGTGACTGTTCCCGGTGGAAGAGCAGAGTCTGGACAAGATGTGGGCAGATCCAAGACTGACATTGTGGACCAGTGTTGCCAGAGCTGCTGTTAAAATGTACTAACACATCTGTGCTGGGTGGCAAACACCTGCATCCCCCGAGTGGCTCTGAGTGTCCCCCAGCGCGTGGCTTTGCCCCCAGGACCCCCCTGTGCTGGTTAATGCCTGTCGGACCCCAGGTTATGGGATCTGCCAGCTGGCAAGTTGTTTGTTGGTGCTTATTTTACGCTGGTTGTTAAATACTGCAAACGTCAGGCTGGGAAGATTCTCCCACCGCCACCCTTTGATAGAACTACTCTCCCCAGAGGCTAAATTGGGGAGACTCCCTGGGCTCACAAGTAGTTTGCAAAAGCCTGAGGGAAAAGGGGCCCATTCAGAGAAATGGGTCAGAGGACAGAGGTCATTTAAATGACCCAGAAAGCTGTTTTGCAAAGGCGAATTCCTCAAGGAGGCATGAAGAGCTCAAATAATTCATTCACTCCCCTGTGTTGGTTCCATCAGGTGGCTGTCCTTCTGCACCCACCTGAGAGCCTGGAGGAGAGAGGGTGTAATTTCAAGGAGAGGGAGGGCGGGGCTCAGCAGGCTCCCAGTGATTGGGATGGGGCGGGGGGGGGGGGGGACTGGGGGTGTTGGGCGGAAGGGTGAGACCAACTCCACCTTCTCACAAAAGGCGAAAGAACGCCTTGCTCCTCCCCCTCCTCTCCCGGCCGCTCCTCCCTGTCTCTGGCTGTTGCAGGTGATGGATGACTCACTGCTCCCAGGATACAGGTCAGTCCTGTGGTTTGGTGACTTCCTAGCCTGAACATTCACTCGTAGTGGGACTGTGGGAATTCTGTGTCCATGCTTCCAGCACCCAACTCCAAAAGAGTCTGTTGACACCGATGAATGAGGTGGAAATGGCCCAGAACTTGAGCATCTGCATTGATCTGGGGTTCATTCTCCCTGAGGGATTTTCGGGGGGAAGCTGTGGATGTAACTTTCTGTGGTTGAGGATTTGTATTTTTTGTTTCTATTCCCAAGCCTTTCTGGTTCCCTGACTCCCACCCCATTGCTGGGGTCGGTACAGACATCCAATAAAGGTTTTTTTTTATTATTATTATTCTGGAATCCCGGGAACATCTGAGTATGTCTCGAGTCTGCCCACTCCTCTGAACCCACAGCCGTCTCCCTGGACTGACCACATCCCCTATCCCCCAGGTCACTGCCCTGCCCGTGTACTCCAACCTCTCGCTTTGTCAATTGGTTTTTGGCAGTCACCAGAGAGAGTTTTAAACGTGCAAGCTATATCATTTCAACTCTGGTTAAAAAACCTTACTTTCCTGGCTGGTGTGGCACAGTGGATTGAGTGTGGGCCTACAAACCAAAGGGTTGCTGGTTCAATTCCACGTGAGGGTACATACATGCCTGGGTTGCAGGCCAGGTCTCCAGTAGGGGGCGCATGAGAGGCAAGCACACATTGTTGTTTCTCTCCTCTCCTTTCTCTCACCCGAACCCTCTCTAAAAATAAATAAATTAAAAAAAGAAAACCCACTCTATTATGCTATTATTCCAAAGATGAAATCTAAACTTTCCCTCTCCTGGTCTCAGCCTCACTTCCAGCCTCATTCCTTACCAACCCCGGTCTTGTTGCCTGTGCTTCTCCACCCTGGCCCAGCTTCATTTCCTCAGCGTCCCAACCACGTTGCCACTTCCCAGACTTCGCACATGCCGTTCCCTCTCCCAGAAGGTTCTTCCCCTATCCACAGGCCTTGGCTTAAAAATCACCTCCTCAGAGAGGCCTTCCCTGACTACTGGGCTGGAATAGTTAACGTGTCTCGAAGTCACCTATCCTTTCTTCTTTCCCTTGGTGAGGAACTTGCCATTGCACACGCACCGACGTCTGTACTTGTCGGTTCACTATCTCCCCAACAGCACCTACGCTCCAAGAGGCTGAGACTGCCTTGTTCGCTCCCTGCCCTGTAACCACCGCCGAGCGCTGTCCCTGGCCCAGCGTCAGTGGTCAGTAAACATTTGTCGAATACAGCACCCGGGGGAGTGAGGACTCTTCCGGACTCACACCGCTGGATGGCACAGGCCCCGGTAGAGGGGAACCGCCCCTTCAGAAGGCACTGAGGCCTTTCACTGAAGTTGACCTCAGTCAAGTGCAGAAGGAGGCTGGACGGTGAAGTGAGAGCCAGGCCCAGAGACTGGAAGTTCTGGCCAATGGTGAGGGGGCACCGGCCATGGAAAAGTGTAAGTGTCCTGGCCCTGAAGTGCATGCGACAGCTGAGAGCAGGCGGGCGTCCCTGCCGGTAGGTACTGCTGTCCACCACCCTTGGCCTGGCTCTCTCTGATGGATTCAGCTCGCAACAAGTGCAGCAAAATACTCGCAGAGGTCTGTTCCGTGCCAGTCAGGCATGGCCAGGCCAGAGCGCAGAGACACTGTCACCCTGAGGGCACCTACCCTCTATCTAAGTGACAGTTTGGTGAGCTGAGAGTGGAGAGAGAGGTCTATTGAAAAGGCTGAAGGGGACACAGAGGGCGGTATCTGCCTCTGCCTAGGGTGGTCATGGGGGAGGGGAGCACAGGGAGGAAGGCTTCCTGGAGGAGGACGAAGTGAGGCATTCTACCCACAGAGGGGACCAGGGAGCCTGTGTGCAAAGACCCGGAGACCTCCAAGGTGAGCTCCGGAAGCTGGCTCTAAGTTGAATACAGGCCTTCAGCAACAGGGTGAACAGTGAGGCCAGTCCGAAGTTGGCTGTTGAAGCCAGACTTCCTGGGTTCAGGTTTCAGCTCCTTCACTTATCAGGGCTGTCGTCTGGGGCAAGTTACTTAGCCCCTGAACCTCAGCCTTTTCACCTATAAAACAGGGATGATCTAGGAATGGCTACTGTTAACTGAGAGGTAACTACGTCCCTGACATCGTGCTAAATGCTTCTCTTGGAATGTCCCCATTTTATAGATGAGGAAAGGGAAGCACCGTCTCCTAAGGTTAGGTGAAAAGTGAACAGGGTAACACATGTAAAGCCTCAGAACTACGCCTGGGTCACAGGAAACACTCAGTCAATTGCAGTCATTCATAGTGATGGACCTTAGGAGGCCCATTACTCTCAGTATGGGAAAGAGGCTGGACCCAAGTTGTGAAAGGCCTCGGTGCCATGCAGAGCTTGGGCTCCAACCTGCAGGCAGTGGAAGCCACAGCAGGTTTGCCAGGTGATTGCAAGATCAGACCTTGTATAAGAAACCCCTGCTCGGGCTGGTGTGGATGGCTGACTGGGAGAAGGGGTATTCAGACTCAGGTCCACCTCTTCATGGGAAACACCTAAATGCTTTTTAAAAATATCAGTGCCCAGGCCTCAGAGACGAGGATGTAACCTGTGTGCAGCAGGGCTCGGGAAGGAGGTCTGAGGAAGGGTTGGGATCAGTTTCCATTCAGACCCCAACCTGGGAGGATGAAGAGGGTGGACACTTTCCGAGAAGTGAAGCAGGAATTAATCCTCCAGAAAATCTCTGTGCTCCAGCCCAGCAATCCCCACCCTGATTTCTTGCTTCCTTTTTGGCCATCTTTATTACTCTTACTATGCAAAATACAGAACTATTGTAATTTGGTTTATTGTTGATTTCCCCCCTTAGAATGAAAGCTGCAGGAAGCAGGGACGTCCGTGTGCATGCGTGTGTGTGCATGCACACATGCATGTGCACGGTCCATCCATCTCGCGTACCTGAAACAGTGGTAGCAGACCACACAGGTCACTGACAAATGTTGGGTGAGTTAGTAACAGCAGCTCAAATGTATTAAGTACTTAACAAGTGCAATTATAGGTGTGAACATTATAGAACAGACTTAGTTATGATTCTATAGATGCTATTCCAAACATGTTTTGTGTATCATTTCATTTTATTTTTTCAGTAGTTTATATGGTAAATCCTAACATCTGCATAGACAGATGAGGAAACTGAGGCTTGGAGCTCTTATGGTGCTAGCTAGCATGTGATGGACCCAGAGTTTTAATCCACGTGGTCTGGCTCCAGAGACTGAATTCTTAGCCACTCTTCTATGTTGCTCAAGATAAGTGAATGAATGAATGGGGGAAAATGAATGAAAGAATGATGTGTTGTACTCATACTAGAAACAATGAATTGTGGAGTCAGACAGATCTAGGTGTAAGTTCCAGATTTTCTATATATTGAAATACACGATGTGGACACGTTCTTAGCTTCTCTAAATCTCAGGGTCCTTATGGGAAAATCAGGAAAAACCTTTTATCTACCAAATGCTGGCTGTGCTAACCCTATTACATTGTATACATTCTTGATCCATTACTGCCCTCTCGTGGTCAGTTAAAACAGCAACTTCGTAACTGCTATGCTAAATCCAAATCCCTGAATGGTGTGTATGGTGCTTGGCTCCTGCAGTCTCCTGGATCTTATTGGTAGTCTTCACGGACCAAGTGAGGATCAGTCTTCCTCAAAGGAAAGCAGGAAGGACTAGCCCACACGGGTCCCTGCAGGGGAGAATGGCTCCACAGAAATGGTCCTCGTGAAAAATAAGTTAGCCAAACCCCCCACCAAACAATTACACACAAAAGGGTTAACAGGCTCCTTAGATTACAGAGTTGAGTTTTCCAGACCTTCAGAGAACACGCCCTCACGATGTGATGGCTAAGGTGTTGTCACCTTGACTGGGCCATGGGGTGCTCAGCTATTTGCTCAGACATTATTCTGGGTATGTCTGTGAGAGTGTTGTTGGATGATATTAACCTTTGAATTGGTTGATTAAAAAAGCAGATTGCTCTCTATAATGGGAAGAGGCCCCATCCAATCAGTTGAAGTCCTGGACAGAACCCAAAGGCTAAGAGGGAACTGGGCCTGCCCGGCCATTTGGGCTGAAACATGGTCTTCTCTGGCCTCCTCACTCAACCTGCGACACCTGACCTTTCTGGGTCTCAAGCCCTCTGGCTTTTGGACTGAAACTTGTACCATCCGCCCTTCTGGTTAGGAGGCCTCACTCTCAGAGTGGAACATCCATCCACTCTCCTGAGTCTTCAGCTTGCCAGCTGCTAATCTTGGGACTTCTCAGCCTCCAAAACCTTGTGAGCCAATTTCTTATAAAAAGTCTCTCCTCTCCTCTCCTCTCCTCTCCCCTCTTTTCTTCTTCTCTCTCTCTGCACGCACACCTCACATCCTATTGATTCTGTTTCTCTGGAGAACCCTGACTAATACAACCTGTTTTATACAGATTGTTTTAGGGAATTAAAAAGAGAGAGAGAGAAAGCTACTTAACTTATTTTCTAATAGCTAATTTCTAACAGCTGGTATAACCTTGACATCAAGCCCAGGTAAGTGCAATTAGAGAAGAGAACACTATCGAACAAGCTTAGTTATGATTATATATGCAAAACTCCTAAATAATAAAGCAGAAAACAAAATGCATATTATAGAAAAATATAGTAGAGTTTAGCCAAAAAGGCAAGGATGGCTTAATACCAAGAAAACAATTCCTATATTCTGAACCTGAATACATTAAAAGATTAAAAGCATAGGATTATTTTAATAAATGCATAAACATCATTTGATGAGATTAAAGACTCATTCTT